ATCTTGAATTTTAGTGGTGATCTATAGATCACATGATACGGGTATGTGTACCTTTGGGTACATATATATAATCTCTATTATTATTATTATTATATTATTATTATTATTATTATATTATTATTATTATTATTATATTATTATTATTATTATTATATTATTATTATTATTTTTTTTTTTTTGTCTTAAGAGTTATGGTTGAATCTCTTAAAAAAAATAATAATAATTTGTCTTTTTCAATCTCCTTTTTATAAGTTTTGCTCATAATATAGTTTGAGTAATTATTTATTAAAAGGTGTTGCTAGGACCTTGCCATTAATTTTGCACAACTTGTATGCTCCTTTCGTAAGGTTAGCATGGATGTAGTATGGCCCTTTCTATTTGGGCTTGAATTTGTAGCTGCGTGTGTCCAATATTCTAGCATTTAGAACTAGAACCTTATCATCTATGACAAAATCGGATGTGGCTTTGGTCTGCTTGTCACACCAATCCTGTTGTTTTTCCTGTGTTACTTGGATCTGGTGTCATGCTTTCTCACAGGCTTGATGTAGATCCTGGCCAATTTCATATATTCTTTGGATGATCGTTTTATTCAACAAGTCTGGGGATTCATTGGGATGTATAGGTAACTTGGCTTTTCACCCGTATATTAAGTAAAACAGGGTCTCTTGCGTGGAGGCTTGTTTTGCAGTCCTATATGCAAATAATATCAGTTGTATTAATAGGTCCCAATTGGTTATGTTTTCTACTAGCTTTGATATAGAAGTGCACAATAATTTGTTAAATCTTTTCACAAGTCCATTCATCTGAGGGTGGTATAGGCTCGAGTACTGATGCTTAATTTGTAAAGAGGCTAACAAATTATCAATAGTAACGATCCTAAAATGGGAGCCTCTATCAGACAAGAGGTACGTGAGACATCCATGGCGGTATACGATCTCTTAATAGATAAATTTTGCCACTTCTTCAGCTGTGTTTCTTTGTATAGCATGTGCTTCTGGCCACTTTGTTATATAGTTGGTGGCCACTACGATATAATGATTTAGTCGTGGTGTAATTGGAAGCAGACTGACTATATCAATGCCTATTCTATAGAATGGAGCTCCTAGGGGTATAGTATGTAACTTTTCTTTGGATTTTCTTTCTCCTTGTTGCTGGCATCTTTTACATGATCTCACATATCGCTTTATGTCTTCGTACATCTGCGGCCAATAATAGTGGTCTCGTAATTTATTAAAGATTATTTTGGTATCTAAATGGGCACCCATGGGGTGGTCATGCGTTTGGGCCAATATGGGTTCGAGCTCATGCTCCTGGATAACCTTTAGCAACTTGTCCTGTTACCATCAATTTTTCTTATGTAACTTTCTTTCTTTTACCACGAAAAATCGACTTTGAGTTTCCAAATGTTTTTGTTGATCTTTATTTGAACATGGTGGGTATCTTCTATATTGTAAATAGTTCTTCAATGCTGCGTATTGTTGTGGATCTATCTTTCTTTCTGGTTAATCTTGTACCAGGATACCGACAATCTGAATTGGATTTGTATTTAACATCGGGTTTGTAAGCTACTTAAAGTATCAGTTTTTTCTTTCTCTTAATTTGTTTAAACTTTTCGTTGCATGTCTTTTCAGCTAAGTAATCGTTTCTTGTATTTATCTTTTGTCATTGAATATTCTTTTCTTCCTCTAAATACGAAAGTCTTGTTTCGCTTGCTTTTCTTGACCTTCATTTTACTCATTGGTAATTTCTTTAATTCTTTCTCGATATAGTTTAAATTTTGGTAGAGTTGATCTTTTTCGACTCCAATTCCGTTTTGATAACAATGTCCAACCTTGGGGACGTCTTTCGATAACTACTTTCAAATTATTTTTACGTTCTTTTCTTCAGTAATCTGTCGAGAGTTTGGGTTTCATTTTTCTTTTCGAATTTTGCGTACTTTTCTTAGTCAATTTTGCTAAATCTCGATGCCAGGTTTTTCATCAGTAGACTTTTGAATTCTTTTCTGAGATTTAATTCTTTTTAGTTAATTGAGTGTATGAGTGTTGAGGTCAACTAATTTCGTTCATTGTAGTTGATTCTTTCAAGTGTGGTTCTATCTTGGATAGGTTTTAGTTACCAACTTAGGTTCTTTTGGTCTCTCTGTTTTTTTTTTTTTTTTAATCTTATGATTTGAATAGGGCTCCTCTACTCGCCCTATTCCATCCTGACCAACTATGCTCTATTGCCAGGTCTGCTGTATATATCGAGCCAATAATACTGATAATGTAGGAACATAGAAGAATATAGATAATGGATTTTTATTTTTTTATTTTTATTTTTTTTACTTTTTAATTTATATTTTAATTGTCCTATAATTTATTTACTCACTTTAATGTTTTTCTACTTAATTAATATTTTCAGGAGTTGTTAAGAAGAGAACTAATCCTTAATTAATTCCTTGTAAGAAGAATTTTCACTTTCATAGAGAATCATAATATTCCCAGTCAATGTAGGTATCGAAGAGCTGAGTTTGTTTCCAGTCTTCTAGGTTGAGATTTTTATCGAGAGTCATTTCACTTTCCTCATTTGGATTCAACCAGCAATAGTTGGTATCGACGTAGATGTTATAGGGGCGTACCTTATATTTTCATAGTAATCTTCATTTTCAAATTTTGTCCCCTTAACGACTCTCCCCATTTAGGAATTTCAATTAGGTATGTTTTGTCAATGTTTATGGGTTGAGTTTCTCCTTCTATACCATTGTTGGTTGCAAACTCTTCCAGTATCCGTTAATTGTCGACCATATTATTGTTTTTCCTGCTTCTTTGGCTATTTCATCCAAGAGTTTTTAGTAGTCTTGCTCTATTCCACTGTCGTTTTCTTGACTTGTATATTTGATATCACTCATTATTTCTTCATTTTCTTCCCAGTCATTTCATTCTTCTTCCCAGTTATCACATTCTTCTTCCCAGGTTATTATATCTGTTTCTTTATCAGAGTCCTCGATAACATAATTTTTTACCATAATTTGGTAAATCTCTACTTTGGTAGTTTGATCGTAGTGGAATGCTTCTTTGGGTCTTTCGGACTTAGGATCTTCAAAGAAATAGTGGTGAGCTAAGGCCTAGAATATTTCTACGTCTTCCGTTGATTTAATATTTTGGGCTTTGGGAAGTTCTAGATTTTTATTTTCTCTATCAGCATTCTTCATATTAGCTGCTTTTTGATAACAGCTGATTATTTTTCTTTTACTTTCTTCATCACTAGGCTTTTCCTCAATCATCTTTGATAATGCATCAGCGTTATTATACTTGTGGCCTGCTCAATGGATTATAATAAAATTGTAGAGCTGTAGTCGCAAAATTTATCGAGCTCTTCGCCCTTTTGGTTCAGTGGTTTGCAGCTACTTGAGTGCAGCATGGTTGGTAATGATAATAAAAGATTGGTAGCCCAAATAGGAATGGAAATGCTCAACACCCCAGATAATGGCGTAGCATTCTAATTCTGTAGCTGCATAATTTCTTTCAGTTCTAGTAAGGCTCTTACCAGCATAAATTACAACATACTCCTTTCTATCTTCTCCTTTTTGGGCTAAAACAGCACCTAGCCTGACTCCAGAGGCGTCAGTATGGAGATAGAAGGTTTTTGAGAAATCCAGGTACCTCAGAACTGGATCAGTTGTTAGGTGTGTTTTTAATGCTTGAAAGGCTTCTTCCTGTTCTTTTTTCCATTCATACTTTACACCTTTTTTCAACAATGTATGTAGGGGTTTAGCCATGGTGGTGAAGTGTTGTATAAAGCGCCTATAATAAGAGGCTAGGTTGATAAATCTTTGAAGCAGTCTTAGGTTCATTGGGGTAGGAAAATTTTTGACTTTTTCTATCTTTGCTGGGTCTGGTCTTATTCTGTCTTTTCCTATTATGTGACCTAAAAATTAAATGTTGTGCTTAAATAGGTCACACTTTTCCTAGTTGAGTTTTATCTCTACAGTCTTAATTTTATCAAACACTTTTTGTAAGTGTTGTACATGTTCCTGGTAGGTGTTAGAGTAGATTATGATGTTGTCCAAGTAGACAGGGGTAAACTTTTCCAAAAATTTTTTAGAATTTTATTCATAGTTCTTTGAAAAGTTGCAGGAGCATTGCATAGTCCAAAGGGCATAACCCGGAAAGTATAAACTCCTTGTTTGGTTACAAAGACCGTTTTTTCTTGGTCTTCAGGTTTTACACCTATTTGCCAGTAACCACTGTCTAGATCAAGACTTAAGAACCATTGGGCTTTACTGAAAGTTTCAAGTAAGTCATCAATATGGGTAAAGGGTAGACGTCTTTCTTCATTATGGCATTTATTTTGCGATAATCTATACATAGCCTAAGTTTTCTGTTCTTCTTAGGTACTATTATGACCGGAGATGTCCAAGAACTTTTTAATTCATATATGAGGCCGTTATCTAATAATTTCTTTATTTTTTTGTTCAAGAAGTCTTGTTCATCCTGAGCTATGTGGTACACAGACTGCTTAATCAGCTTAGCGCTTCCTATATCGAATTAATGCTGTATTTCCGCTATGTATCCTATTTTACTTAATTCCTTCGAAAATAGTTCTCTATAATTTTTTATAATTAGGTTTACTTCTTCTTTTTGCTTTTTGCTTAAGGTTTCCATTTCTACAAGCTTTTTTTCCATCTCTTTGATCGATAATTTGGGAGTTTCATTTCTTCTGGGGTTGGTAGTTCTTCAATGGCTATTAAATAGATAGCTGGGCTATCTATATCTTCCTAGTCTTAAATATGTCTTTCTTCATCCTCTGCTTCATCCCTATAGTAACTTTCAACTTCTTCCACTGCTTTCTCTTTGAAGTTGTTAAAGTAGTCATCATCGTCATCATTATTTGTTTCTTGAGCTATTAACTGGTTTTCTTTTGCTTTATAAATAGATATTTCTATGCTTTTATCTAGATATCACAGGAAAGCTTGCCTTCATCGAAGTGGAGTCAGGCATGGACTTTTTGGAACCAGTCCATCCCTTGCAGCATTACTTCTTCAGGGTTTTCAATTACCTGGAAAGTGGTGGGTATCATTATGCTTTCAATAGCAAGCCTTACATTTGGGATTCTTTTTTGGTGGGGTGGGTTTTGTCTACGTGGGAGTTGGGCTGGGCTGGTTTCTGCTCTAGCAGCAAGCGTGGTTGTTAACATTTTGTAGTTAACGGCCATTTGCTGCACCTTTTGGGCTAATTTGTTAATAAGTTTGCTGGTAGGCGCTTCTTCCTTTCTATTTTTATAATAGTTTTTTGCCTCTACTCTTAGTGTTGCACCAGTGGCTTCGTCCATGGTTTCAGGATCCTTCAAAGACATTAGTGCCGCAGTAGTCCCATGAAGGCCTCCTAAGAACATTCCTACGACATATAGTGGGGGAATCTGGTGATTTGGGTCAACTTTCTTTAACAATTTTTTGAATTTGTAGACATATCTATCGACTTTTTCATTTTCGTTTTGGGCGAGATTACTTAGCTCTATTTGCTATTGATGTTTTCTCTTAGGTGGCAAAATATTTAATGAAGGATTTAACGAAACTTTCTTCTGGGTTATTCTCATTGTCCCAGAAAAGAAGTTCTTCTTTATGGTTGTTGTACTAGCTTGTAACAATTCCGGAGAGGTGTCCTGACGCGATCTTAATTTTTTGCATCATAGTCTAGTTATTGGCGTTAGCAGCTCTTTCAAAAGCTTTTACCTATTCAACAGAGTCTTCATCTTTCTCTCCCTTAAAGTTCTTCACATGAACCTAATTATTTTCGTGGTTGGGGGTGGTATATCATGTAAGGCGACTTGCCTAAATGTTTGGGCAATTTTTCGAAGTAGATTTTGGGCCTGATTTTGGTTTACTGGTTTGTCGCAATAGACAGGTGGGTTTTCATGGACGCCAAGCCTATCCCTGTCAATAGTTCCATCTCTTCAAAATTATTCAGGTCTGACATTTTTGTAAAAAAAATAAGTTTTAGTGTTTTTGGTATATTTAAAGAAGGTTGTATGTGTTTGTTGTAAAATAAGGTTATAATAATGGTGTTTTGAAGTGTAGTAAGTATCTCACAGTCACTACCAAATTGTAAAGGTGAGAAATGATATATAATCAAAATAACTAACTAAACACTATCTAACTAAAAAAAAAATACAATAGGTGCCAAAGCCATGGCTCCAAATGTAGAAAGTGCTCCAAATGTACAAAGTGACGATTGAGGCATAGAATAACTTGGTTTGAGTTTTTGGAGTTTCAGGCTTTATAGAAAACAAGATAAGTATAATTTTAGGCCTTTATTCATACTTTTAGATCATGGACACCAGTAAATAGTCAAAGAAAGTCCTTCTTTTGTTATTTTGTATATTAGGGCTTCGATACTTAGGTTACAGTCACTAGGGCTCTACTGGTTGTCATATGTCATGTGTTAATGAAATGAGATCTTCATTAATTTCGATTGTTTGACGTAATAGTCAAATAAAGGTGATTTGTAACAATAACGGGATTTGATTAATAGTCTGATCTTGGTTTTGTATTTAAGAAGAGTCTAATTACTAATCAAACACTTTTCTCTTTTACTCAAAATATTTCGTTCTTAAAAGTATCACAGGGACAAGAGGTTCTATAAATCAATTTTTACAGGCGAAGGTCAACAATAAGTTTATTATGATCGATTTATGACAAGCAAATTTAGGATCAAAGGTTTTAACTATTAAAGAACCAACTCCTACTTTTAAGACTTTTGAAGTATAGAACTCAACAATTACTTTTATTAAAGCGAAAAAGATGGGTCTTTTATACTTTCAGACCGCTTTTCTTTACACTGGGCTATGTTCGCTATCTAACTAGTTTTTCTTGGGTTTTTCCTTCGCTATATACATTTAGTACATGGCTTTGATGTACATTTTGTACATATATACAAAATGTATACGGCTTCTATGTATATTTTGTACATATGTACAAAATGTACATTGTATTATGTACAAATTGCATATGGGTAACTAGTTTTCTAATAATTGTTTAGTTTGCATAATACATATAAAGAAAAATAAACTAATATAATATAAAAAAAATAAAAAAAGTATAGGCACTAATATTTGGTCCCGGAACTCCTCCTACAACGTACGTACATAAAATGTGTAATGTACATATGTACGTACATACAGTGCTTACACTGTTTTTGATCTAGATTAGACATACAGAAAGTTATGACAAACATACCAGAATAATGGCTTGAAAAAGCTATTTCTGAAGGGCATATCAATTTTATTGAATATAATAAATTTATAGACCCTATTGTGATCGGCATTGGAGGTTTTGAAAAGGTACTTAAATATGAGTGGAGAGACAGCAAATTAACAGTTGCTCTTAAATATCTTAAAGTTGATACAAGTATAGATGAAAATATTATTAATGATTTTATTAATGAGGTATTATTTGTTATACTAAAATTTTAATGATATCCTATTACAGAATAATAAATTCATATAATTCATATAATTAGTTTAAACTATTACGAAAAGTTTCTTACTATCCAAACGTAATTTCTTTCTATGGAGTGACCAAAGGTAAACAAGTGATTTTTAGTTTTTGAAGTTATCAAATAATAATATGCTAAATGAACAAAAATATTTATCATATTTAATATATAGATAGCAACAGGTATTATGCAATACGCTGAAGACAGAACTTTACAAAAATACTTAATGGCAAATTTTACGAAATTACAATGGACAGATAAACTGGGTATTGCTAAGGAAATAGCACTTGGACTTTTATTTTTATATGATAATAATATTATTCATAGAGATCTGGTATGTTTTGTACCATATATTTCACTGGGTATTGCGTTTATTAATTTTTAGTATTAATGCATATTTTAATTATTATATATTAATAATTTAGCATTCGAAAAACGTCTTAATTCACCAAAGACAACCAAAGATTGCAGATTTTGGACTATAAAACAGATAAATGAAATGTCATTAACTTCAAACTCAATTGCTCATGGGATGCCGGCATATATGGAATCTAAGTGCTTTATTAATCACAAATATAAGCGCGATAAGAAATCTGATATCTATAGCTTTGGAGTAATACTTTGGAAAATTTCAAGTGGAAGACCTCTATTTCAATATTTTGTAACAAGAGAATTACTCGCTATTCACATCTTCTTAGGAAATAGGGAAAAACCTATAGAAGGTACATCATCTCAATATATTGAACTTTACCAAAAATGTTGGGACAACGATCCTGCCAATCGCCCAGAAACAAAATTAATTCTCAATACTTTAAGACAACTTATCCCTAATGAAACTTTGAGCCAACACAATTCTATTGAAATGTCATCTCTAAATAACTTATTTGAAATTACGATATCCTCTCCACTTTATTTACCTGACATGATAAATTCGAATACTTCAGTGCAGAACAATAGTATTTTTGAGAATTTGAGAAAGGAAGCACTAGAATATTTCAAGCAACGCAAGTTTCTCAAAGCTTCAGAACTTTTTGAAGATATTCTTAAAAATAGCCATCATAGTCCTGAAGATCAAAAAAGTGCTTTAACTTGGGATTTTTCTGCAGCTAAATGTGGATTAGAAAGTTTAAACAAATTAACAATGACAATTTACAAGAACTCCATGCTAAATTCTTTGAATCTTTACAAAAATGGTCTTGGATCAAAAGCCTGAAAAACATTGGCAGATGCACTTTGTAAGAATACCACACTGACTTCTTTGAACCTTTACAACAATAATCTTGGATCAGAAGGAGGAGAAATATTAGCAGATACACTTTGCAGAACACCACACTAAAAGATTTGAACCTTGGATGGAATAAATTTGGATCAAAAAGAGGAAAAGCATTAGCAGATGCACTTTGCAAGACCTCTACACTGACTTCTATAATACTTTATGGTAATAATCTTGAATCAGAAGGAGGAAAAGCATTAGCAGATGCACTTTGCAAAAACACTATATTAATTTCTTTGGATGTTGATTTAAATAATCTCGGGTTAGAAGGAGGAAAAGCATTAGCAGATGCACTTAGCAAGAATACTACACTGACTTTTTTGGACCTTAGTAATAATAATTTTGGATCTGAAGTTGGAAAAGCATTAGCAGATGCTCTTTACGAAACTCCATGCTAACTTCTTTGAACCTTTATGACAATAATCTTGGATTAGAAGAAGGAAAAGCATTAGCAGATGCTCTTTGCAAGAACTCCACGCTGACTTCTTTGAACTTTTACAAAAATAATATTGGATTAAAGGAAGGAAAAGCATTAGCCAATGCACTTTGCAAGAATACAACGCTAAAAGATTTAAATCTGCAATTTAATTGGCTTGGATTAGAAGGAGGAAAGCATTAGCAGATGCGCTTTGCAAGAACACTACTTTAATCTCTTTAAATATCAGCTCTGATGATCTTGGATCAGAAGGAGGAAAAATATTAGCAGAAGCACTTTGCAAGAACTCCACGCTAAAAGATTTGAATCTTTATAACAATAAGCTTGGAACAGAAGAAGGAAAAGCATTGGCAAATACACTTTGCAAGAACATCTCTTTAACAGTGTTAAATCTCTATTTTAATAATATTGAATCAGAAGAAGGAAAAGCATTAGCACTTTGCAAGAACTCTACACTGACTTTTTTTGAATATTTACAGAAATAACCTAAAACCACGCTGAAAGATTTGAATCTTGGAAATAATAATCTTGGATCAGAGGGAGGAAAAGCATTAGCAAATGCACTTTGCAAGAACTCTACATTGAAAGATTTGAATCTTTCCAACAATAAGCTTGGATTAGAAGGAGGAAAAGCATTGGCTGATGCACTTTGCAGGAACTCCACGCTGAAAGATCTGGGTCTTGGAAATAATAATATTGGCTCAGAGGGAGGAAAAGCATTAGCAGATACACTTTACAAGAACTCCATGCTAACTTCTTTGAATCTTTACTGCAATAATCTTGGATCAGAAGGAGGAAAGCATTAACAGATGCACTTGCATGAACTCTATGCTGAAAGATTTGAATCTTTATGAGAATAATATTGACTTTGCATTAAAATCAAACAATCACAATACTAAAATAGTAGATTAGATTAAAACCAGCATAAAATAATATAAAGTGTAATAATTAATTGCCTAAATTGCTTTTATAATATTGTAATAAGTGTGATTTTAAATTAGTTGAAAAATTCGAATACTTGTTAATGCATTTGTATTTAATAAATAACCATAAAATAAAATATATGTGAGAGGCTCGCTGTATTTAAATACCATAATATAAGGTAGATTTGCTAATTCAGTGCAGGTAAGTATTATATAATCTATATCATATAATAGATTGATCAAAAATGAACAATTTGGGTACTATTCGATTCATAACAATGAGACAAATCGAATGGTATCAAAATCATTCAATTCTGACCACTAAATTGTTCATAGAAAATTTGTTTAAAAATGTTCTTAATTTGGTGCAGTGTCTAATTCGATGTACTAATACTAAGTTCGCAAGATAGTTCATTTAACCAAAATTAGCTATTTTTTTAAATATAAAATAGTAAATAATTTTTGATATACTGGTCCATTTTACCACCAAAATGACCACTTTGAAGAGACGTTTCCAAAGAGTCTAAAAATATTAAAATCTGATTGTGGGGTCGTGAAATCATTAAGATTTTTGTATTTTGTCAAAACAATGCAAAAATCTTAACAATCTCATGATAGAATTTTAGAAATTTTAGATTTTTGAAATCATCTTTTCAAGGCAGTTATTTTTGGTGGTAAAAGTGTTAAAAACAAACCAGTCTATCAAAAGCATTCTCAATTTTTTGTTAATTTCAAATTTTTAAAAATTTTTGTACATAGCTTATTTTAGTTAATGGGCACCATCCAATTCATTTTATCAAGTTGAATCAAATGGCACCAAATTCATATAATTTTGTTTGATACATAGTTCATGAAATATTATTAATATGCCAAATTATTGTATTTACCTTATCAGTCATCTGATTTGTCACACAATTTTGCTATGTAAATTTTTATATAAAGGCAGGTGGGTATTATAACAAAGGGTGTTCTCAAGTAACTCTCTCAATGTGATTAAGATGATGCTCAATTATTACAATTGATCGTTAGAATAATTGCAATCATTGTTTGAGCAAACCATCCTTCCTTTACTCTATTATCACTATGTCTTCAGCAAAAATGTACCAAAAAAAAAAAAAAGTGACTATCCAACAAACAAATATGACTCCTTCTTAGACAAACACCTCAACAAACAAATGCAACCTTGGCAACTCCAAATGCCCTTTACAGACTTTACGAATATTTATATGTTGTTTACAGCAATAATATTCTGCTCTTTAACTTCAAACATGAAGCATTTGAATATTAAAAATTTTTAATAAAAACAAAAAAAATACAGTATATACATACTTATTTTTGATTTAAAAGTTAAGAAATAATAATTGTTGGTAAGGTTTTTTGCTCTTTGAGTTTTCTGGAATTTTTATTATCGACAAGTGTTTCGATAAAAAACAACGCAATAATTTTTTTAACGATTATAATTTCGCTAAAGATCCATGACGTAAAGCAAAGTGCTTGAACAACCTCTTTTTTTACTCTATTAATAAGCAGTGTTGGCTAATCAGCGTTAACTCTATGAAAAAAAAAGATGGTCTGCGCCTCCAGACTTTTTTCAGTGAAGCAACAATTCACCCCCAACTATTTAAAATTTTATTCGCGTTCAATTGAATTAGGTGCTTGAGAACACCAAATTTGAACATATCACATGATCTATCAATTAAAATCGAATGATTTTGGTATCATTTGATTCATTTGATAATATAAAATTATCCAAAGTGGTTATGTACGAATTTTAAAGCCATTTTCTGAAAGGACATAATCGGGCATAATGAGGCTAATTATCAAAAAATCGAAATAAAAAATTTGTTCAAGAAATATTTTATAGTAATTGTAACAATTATTTTAATGGTGAAATAAGTATCTAAATAACACTTTCCTGTTGACTTGAGGAGAATAAGTCGAATAACACCTAAATTAGAAAAAACACCTTAGAAAAATAGGTTTAGTGGTACATGTAGTTCATATTATTTTACAATTTCAGTTATAAATTCCACTTACCCTAATAAAATTCGGTTCTTCTACACACTTAACGTTGGTCTCGCATAACATGTTTTAAAATAAAATTCTTTAAAACTATTAATCCGATCTTAAATATACACGTAGTAATATACCGAAACCACATATCTGTAATACAGACTAACTATTTATATCCACCTTACACATATGTATGTACGTACGTACGTAGGTACCCTTTTCTGTACCGTTTCACAAAATTAATGGTTATAAGGATAAAATCGTACGTACGGTTCGTATCAACTTAAAAAACCAGTATTTTTGCCAAACCTTAATTAATAATTACGATGTTTCAAAAAAAACGAATTGTTTTTCTTGCCTTGATTTTTTTTATACCTCATGCACTTTCTTGGGGATTCGTAGGTAATAATTTTTGTAGATTAATTGTATTATTATATTTAAAAAGATTTATATTTAAATTTTTTTAAATTTAGGACATCAAATTACAGCAGCAATAGCACAGAACTTTCTTTTTCCAAATGTTTTAGAGAAAGTCATTGAATTGCTTCCAGTACAAGCACATGAAAATTTAGCATAGTATGATATCAATATGCTATTTGTCATTATGATAATACTGATAAGCATTAAAAAATTTTTTTTCTTTTCATTAATTACAAAAGTATAGCAGCATGGGCAGATCAAATTAAACATAAAGAGCAATACAGATTTACGTCACCAATGCACTATACCAATCCGTCACCACTATATGATAATCCGCCATCTCATTGCGCTTTTGATTGGGATAAAAAAAAAGTTGATTTGATTAGTGCAATTCATAATTATTCAAATAGACTTGATCCAAATTCAGATCTTAACTATTGGTCAAGAGCTGAAGCACTAAGATTTTTGGTTCATTTTATCGGTGATTTACATCAGCCTTTGCATCGTAAGTTATATATCTCTGTATTTACTTTATGTAATTACTACAGTACTTATATAATTAATTGTTTTTTATATAAAGTTACAGGTAAAGCTAAAGGTGGAAACGGTTTGCCAGGTATATTTATATCTATTTCTTTGTTTTTCTTTGTTTTTATATATTTATTTAATGATATATCGTAGCACTGGTTTAATCAATTTTTTTTACAAAGCCATATTTGAGGGACACAAAACGAGTATACACGCTATATGGGACTCATCTATTATTTATGTACGTATATATGTATACCAACAAAAATTTAGGAATTCCTTACATTATTTTTTGCTCATGAAAATTAGTTATTTATATTGTGAGAAATAATAATCTTTCGAATACACGTTGTATGGAATTCCAAAATTCTACTACTTTATAAGTTATGAGAGATTTGAATCGATCAATTAATTGATGATTCAAATTTCTTTAACATCTCCTTAATATTTGTTAATAAGTAATTTTATTTTATATATTCAAATAATTTTCTTTTTATAATAACAGAAACGAATTCGAGAATTTAATCAAAATTCTACTATTGACTATAATTTACCCGAGGATTATAGTCAGTTTAATTCTTCTGAACCCTTATTTGATGGACAATTTTATGATTTATATTTAAAATACATAATTAATTTAATGAATACAACATGGCGCGGCGAACTTTCACAATGGACAATTTGTAATGAAGACTTCAAATTATCAACCGAGCTTCCCTTATCTGGCCCCAATCAATTACATTTCTCTTCTGCAAGCGATTCTTCTGATTATTTTCACTTATCAATGAATCAAGAATTTTCATTCAGTGCTGCTTGTCCAGAATATTGGGCTATACCACTAAATAAATTAAATTGTCAAGTAGTTTTAAATGGATATGATCGTGAATTAGATTTGAGTATCGGTGAATATTATGAGAAAATTGTTAAATATAATATTATGGAGAAATTATTAGCTATTTCTGGATATAGAATTGCTGCTGTGCTGAATACTATTCTTAAATAAATATGTAATTTATTTTTTGTATATTCAAAATAAATCAATTATTTCACAAATATTACTATTTCAGTCTAGATCTGATTATTTAAAATAAGGAGTATAAGTAGTTTTGAAATTTTTAATCAAAATTCAAAAGTAAGCATCTATTTTTTTAAAATTTAAAATATAAGGTAAATGTATGCTAATATGATATATTTTTATGCATAGAACAAGTTTATATAGAATATAAAGGTAGGTTTAATTAGTATAATTTTGTAGATTCTAATATTTTTTATAATTTTATTAATAAAATTATAAAAATATTGTAATTTTTAAATCTTTACTTAGTAAATCTCTTTTAAGCTTCTAAGTAAAATTGTAGAAAAGCATCTTGTGATCAAAATAACAGTTAAATCATTAAGATTGACCCAGTAGATTATGAGATATAAATGTTTTAGCTTTATGACTATATGCTTTCTTTTTTATTTATATAAAAAAGAAAACATATAATCGTGAAGACAAAAATACTTATATCTCATAATTCACATAGCTGGTTTTAATATTTTAACTACTATTTTGATTGCAAGCTACTCCTCACAACCTTTATTAGAAGTTGAAAAAAGGTTTATTTAATAAAGAAAAAAGTTTTAGTGAAAACTTCAAATTCAAAAATTTTACTATGTTTTGTTATTGAACTTTGAACATGTTCAGCATTTAATGTTAAATGTAATATTTTTAAAAGTCTTTTGTTTTGAAAATGTATTTTAGGTTCGCTCCACAAAATTGGTATAATAATTCTACATTTACTAGTGTACATAAAAATAAGTTTTTGGAATTATATTGGAGTTTACCAAATATTTCATAGTAGCATTCATTCAGTAATGTTATTATATTGAATATTGGAAAATTTTTTTTATCGTATGATTGTATAAGTCATTTAAAAAAAAAAAGTATTTACAGTATATCAGAATTAAATTGTGAAATGTTGCTAAGAATCCAAATTTGGAAAAGATTTTTTGCGTAGTGATTTACCGGCCAACATAATATGATCGGCTTGCTAATGCGGCTAAAGATTATAGGATTTAGATAGAAGGAGTCAGGTAAATTCTAAAAAGGAAACATAAAATGCAAGAAATTTTACCGAAATTTTCCGGAAGTATGATATTTGTCAGCCATTAGCTAGCCGATTAGCCGATATTTTAGTTAGCTGGCTTAGCCAGCCAACTAAAACCTTATAGCTTAAATCATTAGACGTACATACATTGTCAGGGCTCCTGTGGCCCCGAATTTATTTTTTTTCTATTTTTATCTTTTTTTTATTTTTTCTGTATCATTGTACCGGTTATGTTCTAGAAGTATAAGCTTAGCATAGTTAGTCAATATAGTAGTAATGTAAAATTAACAAGATCATAGCCTTGATACCTATTTTGGTAGGATCGAAAGTAAAGAAAGTTACAAAAATGAAATAAATGAAATTTATTTCATTTATTTTATTTTCTTCATCTTTTCAACGAAGAAAACTTGTTAACATATGCGCTGAGCCATTACAGCCATAGCAATGTAAAAACTATAAAATATGAAGACTTTTCATGCAAATAAAGACAACTTATTCGAGTTCTTGAAACCAAAAACTCTAAAAACTTCGAAGTTCAAATAGTAGAAGTTGTTCCTTAAAACTATACTTTTGATACCAAAAGTCTTTTATAATAAATCATAAAACTCATAATTAATGCCCTGAAATTATTGTTAAATACCCAAAAGTCTTGATCGAAAGAACATAAGCATTAGAATTTTTATTACTTCCCTTATATAGTAAATTGAGTTGATCATCCCTGTGACCTATCTATACTCTCTAATTCTGAGTTTGTATATTTTAACATTTTTGATTGGTTGTTTGTTATGATCGACAATTTCAACATTTTTGATTGGTTGTTTGTTATGTTCGACAATTTCATAATCAATAATTATGCTATAATTACGCTATGAAAAGTAATATTTATCATTCTGCATTTCCTTACGACATTTTACGATTAACAAAACAATATTGGGAGTTGTGAATTGTTTTATACGAATTGCTCCAATTACATTTTCGAGATGACAATTCGCGATAGTTAATACAGTAATCAAAATTATGTATTATTAAATACGGAATGCTTTAATAATTACGTTTTCATTACTATATTTCTTGATAATTACGCTTTCAAGATTACATTTCACGATAGTTAATGCAATAATCAAAATTATGTATTGTTAAATACGTGTCACTTTGATAATTACGTTTTCGTTACTACATTTCTCAATAATAACGTTTTCATTATTACATTATTACATTTCTCGAAATTTACAATTTTATTACTACATTTATAGTAAACTGTACAAAAAATTAAAATTTATTGATGCTTTCATAATGTTTTCATGACTACATTTCTTAGTAATTTATACAATAATTAAAATTATGATGTCTTATATTTTCAATTTCGCTATTCCAAAAATTAATAATTCATATGATATAATAATTACAAAAAAATTACACTTTATAACATATTTAGCATTATGATTTAACGTTTTATTGATGTTTTATAATTTTATTACTACATTTTACTACTTTTGTCGATATAAAACATGAAAATACATTGTCAATTGTCAATTAATCGTAATATTCATATTCGTAATGTTTTGAATGACAAAACAATACAGATATAGAATTTAAGTGTTTGTAACTAAAAATCAGTTGAAAACAAAAAATAATTATTGATACCAAATTTTATTCAATTTACAACAAATTTAATCAACTATAATATTCAATTATTTTAAAACATATATAATATATAAAAAAAAAATAATAATAATAAAAAAAAATAAAAAATAAAATAAAAATAAAAATATATGTATAGATAATAAAAAAAAATAGAACAGATCGTATAAGTATAAATAAAATAAAATAAAATAATAATAATAATATAAAAAATATATATATATAAGCAAGTGAGAATAAAAAGGTTATGAAAAATTTCTATTTTATTATTATTATTATTATTATTATTATTAAATTATTAATTATGACCGCGCTAAACTATTAAGAATATGCCACTTCTACGAAATTTGCTATCATGATCAGATAAAAAAACACAAACTAATAATAATTTCATTCAAAATCAGAAACTTTGACGAGTACAAACCTTAGCAAAAAAACGATTGAGATTACATAACAACAGACTTTATTTTCAAGAGACAACTTCAACTAATCGCCACGTTTTGGCTACTCCTCACTTTTGTTCCTATTGTAATACCAAACTTTTCGTGGGTGAAACGGAAGGAATATGTTGTATGACAGGAAAAATTAAATAATTAATGTTAAATTGCCAGCAAACTTTAGTATTTAAATACATAGTATACATAATATATACATAATGATATATTCATTATCATAGATTAGCAGAAACAGAAACTACTATTCCGATAAAAAATTTATTTACCAGATGTGATAATATAGAGTATGAATTCCGCAATAATATTCGTGCTTACAATAATATTTACGCTTTCACGTCCATGGGAGTCAAATTGGATGAGGAACTTGCTAATAGTAAGAGTAACTTCAAATAGCAAATGAAATAAATCATCTGCAGATAATAAAAATCGTTGCTGACTATTTATTAGGTAAAGATGGAATATATACCTTCAGAATTCACAGAGGAATATATCACTCTATTGGATCCCTTTTCCCTAATGTCAACAAAGCACCGAAATTTATGCAATTATATATTTATGATATGGAATATGAAATGGACAACAGGCTTATCGTTATGCCTGAACTCCGTGAGAAACTTTAGAAACCATCAAAGAAATATTAAACAATTTTAACCCATTTGTTGCAAATCTGCGCTCAATTGCTTCGCAAAGTAATATAACAAACTTTCGTCTTCTTATCAAAGCTGATCATGGCATAGATTAAAGAACATATAATATTCCAACTTCTTTACAAGTCGCAGCTATATGGGCAGAAGGTCACGAACCAATAGGCATTATGAAATGGAATATCATTGTACAAACAAGATCTCAAAACCTACAATTTGTTTCTGAGCTAAGTGGCTCTTACGATCCATTAAAAATCTGCTTTTTTTCCCACAAGGTGACCATGGATGGCATCCCGGAATAAAACAAAATATTACAGAAAAAAAAGTAACAACCAAACAATACTATGTATACAAACTTCACATTTGTCAAAATTTTTCATCATTGCTTCATTATGGTGGTAAACTTTTTCAACAATATGTGGTTGACAATTATGTCAAAATTGAATGTGAACGGCTCAATTACTTAAAATTCAATCAAGACAAACTTCGCAGAGAATTATACCAGGACTTACATGACTCTTATCAATCCGGAGTAACAAAAGCATCAGAAGTGTGATCTCGAACAATCCTACCTTCATCTTTTTAGGTAGTCCCCGAGATATATATCAACAATACTTGGATTCGATAACGCTTGTACAAACTTTCGGTAAACCCGATTTGTTTATTACGATAACCTGTAACCCGAAATGGTTTGAAATTTCTTTAGAACTTTTACCGGGACAAACTTCGCAAGACAGACCTGACCTTACAGGTAAATAAACTTAAAAATAATTAGTATATATACAATTAAGGCATTAAAAAAAACTTATTTAGAAAAAAAAAAAAAAAGCCTCAGTTAATTAATAACCTAATAAAATAACAAAAAAATTGGTTAAAACAGCAACTATTTAAACCTTAATATCGTGAATAAAAAACAGGAGCGAAATTCAACATTATTAAATATTAACACAAAATGAAAGCATAATGAAAATATTATCATTATATGCGTGTTATATAGATATTTTTTTTTAAGAAAAAAAAAAGAAATAGAACAGTAAAATAATAATGACCCCGTTAAATTAAAACATTAAATTAAAAAAAAATATAACAGTAATAACAAAAATAATTTAACTTCCCAAAAACCTTTTTTTCAAATTAATAGCTCAGATATTTCGTGCCAAACTAAAAGAAATAATGAAAGATATTGTTGAAAGAGGTATATTTGGTCAAGTAATCGCATATATGTATGTAGTGGAGTTCCAAAAACGTGGACTCCCACATGCTCATTTATTAGTAATTATTCACTCTAATGACAAACTTCGAGGAGCCGATGATTATGATTCAATCGTAACTGCAGAAATCCCAGACCCACAAATGCACCCAAGGTTATATCAGACTGTTGCGCTTAATATGATGTACGGGCCGTGTGGGCATTATAATACTAAAGCACCTTGCATGAAAAACAACATATATACTAAACGTTATCCAAAAGAATTCGTTTAAACAACTAAAGAAGAAAATAATTTCTACCTGATTTACCATCGTTGTCATGATGGAAGAAAAGTTTTATGCAAAAATACATGGTTAGATAATCATTGGGTTGTCCCCTATAACCCTTATTTGACATTTAAATACAACTGTCATATAAATGTCAAAATATGCTCGAGCATAAAATCGATCAAATATCTATACAAATACGTATACAAAGGACATGACAAAGCTGCTCTTCGAATGACTAATAAAAATGAAATCGATCAATATCTGGATGCCCGATAGATTTCTGCACCCAAGGCTTGCTGGCGAATTTTTGGATTTGATATGTCGCAAATCAATCCGTCTGTGTATCATTTACAAATTCACTTTCCAAACCAACACAGTATAGTTTTTCCACAGAATATAAATCTCAGTAATCTAATAAATGAACAAAATGAAAAAACAATGTTAACAGAATATTTCAAATTAAATAATGATGATCCTAACGCAAAAAATTTCTATATCATAAAATACCGCAATATTATGTTTGGAACAAAACTAATAAAAAGTAGACAAAACATAATCAACAAAATATAATAGGAAGAATGTATGCAGTAAATCCGAACGAAGGAGAAAAATATTACTTGCGCCTCCTCCTCAATTACATAAAAGGAGCTACCTCATTTAATGAATTAAAAAACGTTGGTGGTTACGCCTCCTCCTCAATTACATAAAAGGAGCCACCTCATTTAATGAATTAAAAAACGTTGGTGGTTACATTTGTACAACTTTTCAAGAAAGCGCACTGAGACATGGAATTATAGAAAATGAAAACCCGTATCATAACACTATGTGAGAAGCCGCACAGTTTCGAATGCCACATGCTCTAAGATGACTATTTGCAATTATACTTATGTATGGTGAACCTGGAAATGTAAGAGAATTATGGAATGACAATTATATAGACATGTCTGAGGATTTTTCAAGAAGAGGTATTCCTGAAGGACAACCACGAGTTAATGCAATTCTTCTTCACATCAAAAGTATTTTGGAACAACAACATAGAGATCAAAATGAATTTGACCTTCCAACACTTAACTTACCTAGACAATACCAAGAATATATACCAAGATTAATACAAGAAAAATTGAACATTTTAATAGATAATAATGATTTAGAAAAAATAAACTTATTAAATAATGATCAGAAGGTAATACAGTTGACTCTCTCTATACCGAACTGCATGTTCTGGGGGTTTTTGTTTGGTATAGAGTGAGTTCGCTTTATACAGTTCACTTTCTATACCGAACCATTTGGTATAAGTAGCAAACCAATAAAATTATATACAATCGAATCTATATATACCGAACTGCATGTTCGGTACAGAGTAAGTTCATTATATAAATTCTCTCTTCATATACCAAACTGTTCGGTATATAAATCCAGCAAATAAAATCTCTCTCAAACTTGGAAAAATCCGGAAATTTACTTGAAATTTTGATTCACCCTTTTATGTTCGTTCATTTTCTTTCGGAATATTTCGGATCTCATTACTTCATAAACATACGTATCTGTGAAATCATACAATAATTTGTTACATCGAAATATGTATACATAGTCTTGGGCTGGTAAAAATGAGTTCAGATGCGATATATAAAGATTTACTATTTAAGTTCGATATAGCTAGCCTAAATAATTATAAAAAAATCCGTTCTGCCAAATCCGGTTTACTATAGCCTGATTTCGGTATAGCCAGGTTCGGTATATCCAGAGTCGACTGTATATGAAAAAATTATAGAATGTATTGAAAAAAATCAGCCTGGCATTTTTTTTATAGATGGCCTCGCAGGATCTAGTAAAGCCTTTCTATACCTTTGTTTACTCTGCAAAATTAGGTCACAATTATTCATAGCGCTTGCTACAGCCTCATCTGGTATCGTCGCGTTAATTATGCCTGGAGGACGTACCGCCCACTTCAGATTCAACATACCTCTCACACTTGATTCAAATTCAACTTGCAATATAAGCAAACAAAGTCACTTAGCTTCATTAATATGATTGTCCAAATTAATTATATGGAATGAAATTTCTATAATTAATCATAATGCCATTGAGGCCTTAGACAAAACTCTCAAAGACTTAATGAAATGTGATTTTCCATTCGGTGGTAATAGGGTTGGGAAAGGGTAGCCCATTGGTCCGTACGGGCTTTATTGAAAATTAATTTGGGCCATTTCGTCAAAACACTAGTTACATAATGATCTATTATGTGACTAGAATTTTGGGAGATGGCCCAAATTAGTTTCCAAAAAAAGCCCATACGGGCCCAACAGGCTACCTGTTCCCCACCCTAGGTGGTAAAGTAATAGTATTTGGCGGTGATTTCCGTTCGGTGATAAAGTAATAGTATTTGGCGGTGATTTCCGTTCGGTGATAAAGTAATAGTATTTGGCGGTGATTTCTTCCAAATTCTACCTGTCGTACCAAGAGGCAGTCGTGAACAGATAGTAAATGCCTTCCTCAAATGTTTCTCTCTATGGTCTATAATAGAAATATTTCACCTACATATAAATATGAGAGTCCAAAACAACTCTGAATACGACTGTTTCAGAAATTACTTACTAAATATAGAAAACAGAACCGAACCAACGATCTTAAAGTAGCGGGTTTTAAAATTACGTTGAATAAAATCTACTTTTTAATGATGATCTGATTTTAAAAAATCAAGTATTGCTATTTCAGTATTTATAGTATAATCACATATATGATTTATTAATTTTATTTTTTATACACGCTTATTAGAGACGTGTATTCTGAAATCACCACTCGAGTTTAAGTATTCAAGTCAAGAATTATTCTTTTTTTTGGCGAAAAAATGCAAGGTATTATAGTTTTTAGATAATGATCTAGATCTAGATCTAGATCTTGATCTTGAGTATACTGCTTTATTTATTTCATTCAGAATAACGAACATATTTACATTAAAAAATATTTGAGCCGCAAATAGAATACTAACCTTATTTATGCCTCTCTGCTTTACTTTTACTACTATAACTTTTTTAAAAAAACTGTTGTCGCTTCTGGTGCTAAGTTTAAGTCTTTGGAAACCTGCTGAAGGCAACATTTCAAATAGTGGATCTAATATTTTAATTAACGTGGCATAGACACAGTCAATGGTGAAAAAAGGTGGTTAAAACCTACTAAGGGTGACAATTCAAATAGGCAACTTAGTGATTGAGTGGTTTTGAAACCTGCTGATAATGACAATTCAAATAGAAGTATCTGTTATTTATTTTAGAGATATAAATGTTTTCTTTTTATATTTTGACTATTATTCTTATTGTCTGTGTTTTTGGTTTGTTCTTAAGTGCTAAACTAAAAACTTCTTTTTTTTTTAGACCTTACCGAAAGTAGCATAGGCACATTCAATGATGAAAAAGGTGACTAAGCGGTTTTGAAACCTGCTGATAATGACAATTCGAATGGAAGTATTTGTTATTTATTTTAGAGATATAAATGTTTTTTTTTTATATTTTGACTATTATTCTTATCATCTGTGTTTATTGGTTTGCTTTTAAGTGCTAAACTAAAACTTCTTTTTTTTTTAGACCCTACCGAAAGTAGCATAGGAACATTCAATAATGAAAAAGGCGACTGAGTGGTTTTGAAACCTTAAGATAATAGGAATTTCTAGAGATAAAAAAAAAGCATTTGAATAGTATTTGTGATTGGCTGAAAGTGGCAACTTGAATAGAAAAGAGGACTTAGATTTTGTTATTAAATAGCATTGGCAGTTTGATAGACAAGTCAAATTTTGATTCTATTTAAATAGCATAAGCGTGACCTGGGGCGAAATAAAAAAGGATTCTGTTTTATTGAATTAAAGAGTAGTTAATGGGTTAGGGCTAGTCGATAGGTTAGAATTAGAGACTCAATCCTGATTTTCTTAATATTCAAAAAGTTTAATTTTTAATTTTACTAAATATAAATAAAATACAGTTTTAATTATTTATTTAATTGCAAGCAAATAAAGCATATTGATTAAACATATTTAATTAATAAATATATAATTCAAACAAAATTTTTTTATTGATCAAAAAACTTTTATATATATATATAACTAAAGTATACAATAGTTTTTTTTTTACTCTATCCAGTCACAAATCACAATGGATTTTTGTATTGTTTCTGAATTTAAGGATCCATGCTTCACATATCTATATTTGAACCTTTAGAGAATAACCTTTCAGATGGCGCACTTGTTGCTGGTATAGCGAGGTAATCACATGCCATTCTAACCAAAGTTAGAAATTTATCTATATGCATTTTCCACCACTGATATACGTCCATATTACCAGGTACTATAAAGCTATTTAAATACAGATCGATCTCATCTATTTCATTTAGAGATTTATGAAGTTTTTCGAAAACATGGCTAAGATGGCTGCCACCAGAAACATTACCAAGAACATTACTAATTATATTGTTTTTATATTTGTCATATGCATTATTTAAGCATCCAGTTGCCCAATTAAACTACTTCTTATCTCATTTTTCTTTTTTATAATATTTTTTTTTATTCTTGGATCCAATAAAGTTGCTATCACATATATTGGATTTTCACACTTAATATAATAGGTCTTTAATTTATTAAGAGCTACATCAATAGCCTCAATAATAACCATAGAAGAACACGCCACTTGCAAATCTTCAAAATCATCTATAATTAGGTTAAAGGCTGGTATAGCAAGAGGCATCATCACATATGTTTCGCCATATAATTCTTTAGAGACACTGCGAAAAGCTTTTAAAGATAAAACTATTTCTTCAAGCATTTTCCAATCTCTTGGCGAAAGACCTAATTAGTAATACATAGATTAATCGATTAATTTTTTTATATTAATTAGTCTTTTAAAAAACATTCAAATAATATTAACCTAATTCATTTAACTCCTGAATTTCTTCGGCTATTCTATTAATTGCTAGTGCCATGTCAATGGCTCATTTAATTATGCTAAGCGTCGAATTCTATTGAGTTTTAGAATCGAGAATTGGAACTTTAAATTGTGCTTGGAGAGATGAACATAAATTATTTAATTTTTGGTGGTGCTGAGGCGATGCCCGAAGTTTGGCGATATGTTTTCGAAGTTTTTTGATAGTTGGAGTTTGGGAGTTAGTAGGTTGGTCCAAAATTTGAATTTCATCCTGGTGCTTCCGAATGGAGATGGCTTAAAAAACCTTGTAAAGCAAGGTTAATTATATGAGCTATGCAACGGATGTGGCCTTCCTGTCTGATAAATGAGCCGCAACTATTATTACACTGAGATTCAAATACTTCAAGTAATATATTATTACTTGAAGCATTATTAACGGCAATCCCCAAAATTTTATTATTTATACCAAAATCATTACAAATACTAAATAAAGTATTTGCCATGTTTATTCCAGTATGCGCTCTATCAAAAGGTGCAAGATCGAGACTTGCAACTTAACTTCCCAATCTTCATTGATCCAATGTGCCGTAATGCCCATAAAAGCTTTACAAGAGTTGCTTGTCCACATGTCAGTAGTTAAAGAAATCTTGCTTGTGTTATTTATCAGGGTGCTTTTTAGAATGGCCTTTAGTTCTAAATACCGGCCTAACAAATCCCGCTTAACTGTACTGGCAGAGGGAATTGTAACATTATTTTTTAAATTTCTAATTATATCAGCTAACTCCTGAAAACTTTCAGATTCAATGGCGGTAAAAGGAAGGCCATCCATTGCGATCCACTTTACTAATGCTTGTCTAAGAACATTTTCACCAGACCGAGGAACAACTGGAAAGTTTTCAGAACTAATGGTCTCTGCAATATTGATATGATGAACATTGGTAATATGGCTATATAGGCTAGAAGTGGAACCTTTGCTTATGATGAGGTATGTTTCTTTTTTAGTGCACAAATAGCATTTGGCTTTTTTTTGCTATCTTTTAAAATGAGTTGCACAAAGAAATGCCATACTGGACTTCCATCAGTTGGAATTTGTACACTTGTATTAGCAGCCATTGTTTGAAGTAGGATAATAGGTATTTGATAAAAAAATTTATTTATATAAATTTAATTTGTTTATTCAAAAAAAAATGAAATATTGTATAGTATGTAATTTTATTTTTTAACCAAATTATGAAGGTTGATTCTTTCTAACTACTTTTTTTTTCTATTTATATTTGTTTAATTACATAAAAATTATGCATAATGATCATGCATAACAACTATGAAAAGCGAACACGCATAACAACTGTGAATAATGATCGCTTATTGTAATTACACATAATTTTTACGCATAATGATTATTACACATAATAATGATTATTATGCATAATTTTTGTGCATAATGATTATTACACATAATTTTTGTGCATAATGATTATTACACATAATTTTTGTGTATAATGATCACTTATGATGATTAACATAGCAATTTCGCTTACAATAATCACGCATAATGATCGCTCATAGTAATCATACATATCGCATAATAATCACAATTATGCATAGTAACCATGCATAGTATAGAGATTATCTATTGAATTATTAATATGTTACTTTCAAGTTTATTAATACGATACAACTATACTAATAAAATTTAAAACCAAAAAAAATATAAAACAATCGTAAATTGTCAAAAAAATAAAGAAATTTAACTTTCTTTAAAATAAAAGATTAATAATAACAAATAAGCTTTATTTTTTTCATTTATTGTATAATTTTGTTGTTAAAACATAATAAATTATTATACATATCAATTATATTAATAAAAAATATATATATGCTGAACTATTTAATATATGGAAATTCGCTATGCGCCTCTATGCTATTTAAATAGAATCAAAATTTGACTTGTCTATCAAACTGCCAATGCTATTTAATAACAAAATCCAAGTTCTCTTTTCTATTCGAGTTGCCACTTTCAGCCAATCACAAATACCATTCAAATGCTTTTTTTTTATTGCTAGAAATTCCTATTACCTTAAGGTTTCAAAACCGCTCAGTCACCTTTTTCATCATTGAATGTGCCTATGCTACTTTCAGTAGGGTCTAAAAAAAAAAAGTTTTAAATTTAGCACTTAAGAACAAACCAAAAAACACAGATAATAAGAATAATAGTTCAAAATATAGAAAGAAAACATTTATATCGCTAAAATAAATAACAGATACTTCTATTCGAATTGTCATTATTAGCAGGTTTCAAAACTGCTCAGTCACCTTTTTCATCATTGAATGTGCCCTATGCTACTTTCGGTAGAGTCTAAAAAAAAAGAAGTTTTTAGTTTAGCACTTAAGAACAAACCAAAAAACACAGATGATAAGAATAATAGTCCAAAATATAAAAAGAAAACATTTGTATCTCTAAAATAAATAATAGATACTTTCATTCGAATTGCATTATCAGCAGGTTTCAAAACCGCTTAGTCATTTTTTTCATTATTGAATGTGCCTTATGCTACTTTCAGTAGAGTTTAAAAAAAAAAAAGTTTTTAGGTTAGCACTTAAGAACAAACCAAAAACACAGACAATAAGAATAATAGTCAAAATATAAAAATAAAACATTTATATCTCTAAAATAAATAACAGATACTTCTATTTGAATTGTTATTATCAGCAGGTTTCAAAACCGCTCAGTCGCCTTTTTCATCATTGAATATGCCCTATGCTACTTTCGGTAGGGTCTAAAAAAAAAAGAAGTTTTTAGTTTAGCACTTAAGAACAAACCAAAAAACACAGACGATAAGAATAATAGTCCAAAATATAAAAAGAAAACATTTATATCTCTAAAATAAATAACAGATACTTCTATTTGAATTGTCATTATCAGCAGGTTTCAAAACTGCTTAGTCGTCTTTTTCATCATTGAATGTGCCTATGCTACTTTTGGTAGGGTCTAAAAAAAAAAAGAAGTTTTTAGTTTAGCACTTAAGAACAAACCAAAAACACAGACGATAAGAATAATAGTCAAAATATAAAAAGAAAACATTTATATCTCTAAAATAAATAACAGATACTTCCATTCGAATTGTCATTATTAGCAGGTTTCAAAACCGCTCAATCACTAAGTTGCCCATTTGAATTGTCACCCTTAGTAGATTTTAACTCTCTTTTTTCACCATTGACTGTGTCTATGCCACGTTAATTAAAGTATTAGATCCACTATTTGAAATATCGCCTTCAGCAGGTTTCCAAAGATTTAAACTTAGCACCAAAAGTGACAACAGTTTTTTTAAAAAAGTTATAGTAGTAAAAGTAAAGCAAAGAGGCATAAATAAGGTTAGTATTCTATTTGCGGCTCAAATATTTTTTAATGTAAATATGTTTGTTGTTCTGAATGAAATAAATGGAGCAGTATACTCAAGATCAAGATCTAGATCTAGATCTAGATCATTATCTAAAAACTATAATACCTTGCATTTTTTTGCTAAAAAAAAGAATAATTCTTGATTCGAATACTTAAACTCGAGTGGTGATTTCAGAATACGCATCTCTAATAAGCGTGTATAAAAAATAAAATTAATAAATCGTATATGTGATTATACTATAAATACTGAAATAGTGATACTTGATTTTTTAAAATCAGATCATCATTAAAAATAGATTTTATTCAACATGGTTTTAAAACCCGCTACTTTAAGATCGATAGAAATTAAAAACTCGAAAATCGAGTTTTACTCGATTTTGCCGAGCACTATCGAATCCACTATCAGAAAACTCCTCAACAGATTCATCAAAATCTTCAACTCGCACGCATCTTGAATGATAATTATCATTTAAAGATTTCGAAACAGAACTATTAGCACAATCGCTTGAAGATGCAACATCATGTTCAACCTTCTTTGAATTTTCCGAAACATTTTGATATGTAGCCATAAGCTTAGATCAAATAGTCTGCCTAGGTGATGACAAAACTTGGTTAACACCATTACCCAAAATAACATTCCTCTTATTAAGAAATTGAGTATCAATAAGATTAATGCTATTAGCATAAACATAAAACTCATTATTAATAATTTCTATCTGTCTAACCACAAAAATAAGTGACTCTTGAGGTTGAATATTATCTTTCACGTGAACAAAACATGAATTATGAAGTGGAAAAATGACCTTCATAATAAAATTATGTTCTTGACTAGCATAATCAGTAACCAATGTCTGAATGATACCGTCATCCTTAACTTCGTTTGGCATTTCCTGAGGAACACCAACTAAAGACACCTTTAACAGACATTTGTTAGATGTAGCAACCTTATCAAGAATCGCAACATTAGTAGAAGAAGAAACCGTCATCTAAAATTTTTTTTTTTTAAAAAAAAAAAAAAAAAAAAAAAAAAAAAAAAAAACAAAAAAAAAAAAAAAATTTCATAAAAAAAAAAAAAAAAAAAAAAAAAAAAACCAAAAACCCAAACCCCCTTTT